ATTATAATACTTGATCTCTGTAAGGCATCTAAGCCTATCAAAACTTTATTATAAATGTAAGGATAAGATATCACGGATCTTTCATTCGGTTCTTAGTTGCTTGGATAAATAAGATGTCGTTGTGTGAAAGTGATAACATCACCACCTACGACACCTTGTTCATGCTTTGCTCCATACCCCTGTTAGGATTTGTCATAGATCTTCGTTTTGTTTTTTAAAATGAATCACACGCGACAATGAAAGTAATTACTATACGCGAAAGACTTGCAATGTTTGAAATAATATTTTGAATCGTAATCTCAATTTCGAAGATTGCTCGGCAAACTACTCTTAACAAACATGTAATTAATTTAGTCAAACTTATCGCAATGAGTTGATGTTTGTGTCTTAAGCGAAAATCAATAAAACTTCGAAAGCAAAATGTTTCAAAACAGTTGTAATCGTTAGTTCGAAGCAATTAAAAATCGCAATTTCTGCAAAGACATTTTACAGCTTTCATTTACGGCAGTAATACACACGTAGCGTACACACGTTTCATTAGAAATCGGTATTATATGAGCTACGATTGAATTAAAATTTCAGCTGGTTTCCAGTTAGCGCGTGTTAGGTATTGTTTTTAAAAAACATATTTGTTGAAAAAATTAGTTAAACACCTCAGTACGGATGTATAAACATCTGCCCGAAATTCTTCTCTATAATAATTTGAGCAAACTTTCGTAAATAGCTTGAACAACACAACAACAAAAATCTAGCATTAGAGCTTAAGTTAAGAATATCCCAGTTCGATAAGATTTTAATAAAAGCAAAAGGACGGATAGGCCGATATAGTGCTAAATCTACTCAGTATCTTAGCCTTCCTTATACATGAATAATATATATATATAAATATATATCTTTCTTACGATCATATCATATCGACCGAGTTTACATTCAAGACTGGGTACACTTTATACGCCATCGAATGCCATCAGTTCACTGCTCGTTAAATGTTGCTGGTGAACGAGAACGATTAGCCCAAAAGGGAAAATTATGTTCGAACTAGCGCGTTAACCAAGAACCGTGAACCGTGAACCGTCTGAAGTGTGTAAAAACTTATTTATGCATGAGTTTAGGCCTAAATACTGGAATATTCAATGGCAATTCGTGACTTAGTCACATTAAAGATTTTGAAAATTTTATCCACACTCGTCTTTTTACGCGCCCAAGTAAAAATCCTTTTAATACTTTAGTTACATATATATATATATATATCATTAGCTGTGTCTTCTTTTTAATTACCGCTACTATAATAATAGTACTCTATTAGCTTTGTGTGTGCGTGTGTGTGTGTGTGTGTTTGTGTGTTTGTGTGTGTATTATCGTTGCGGTTTTTGTTTTCATTTTAATTACGGGAAACAATCTTGATTTGATGATATTCGTGTGTATATTGTGCATTGGGTTTGCGGTTTGAACTTTTAATTTGTAAATTAACCTTTAGTGTACGCATCCCATACCTTGTACGATTGTATTTTAGTTCTTTTTGAACAATTGAAAGATATGATAAGATAGTGAAAAAGAGTGAGCGTAGACAAAAGCAAAATGCGCTTGAACGTTTTTATACGCAAATATGTGCGCATCGATTTACAAACATATTGAAAAGTGATCTCATAATAGTCAGCGTTGTCTTGATTGAAACGAAGTTTACGTTCATTAAATCTCTATATAAGTTAATGCAAGTTTATGTTAGACTAATTTTTCAAATCAATTGCTAACATTCGAATCTCTATAAACATATATACAATATAAATATATGTACATAGCTTATAAATAGCGTAAGGTATAATAATTAGGATGAAATTCTGAGTAAAGTTTGAGTAAAGATTGACTAGCGGTAGTTTATCTAAGATTTGCATTAACATTTTCTTAGATTAATTCCATCAGCTAGGTCTACAAATGGCAGCAATTTGCTCATTGTTTCAGGATCAGAAGAAATAAAAAAAAAAATAAAAAAAACCAAACAAATGTTACTATGTTTACTTTGATTCATAGCAGATATCAGCTCAAAATATGGAAAATTAAGCCATTTGATCTTCTCGCGATTAATATATATGCATGCATATATATATATATATATATATATATATATATATATATATATATTTATATATATATTCATATATATATATATATATATATTCATTTTAAACGCTACATAAGAGAGAATACATATTCAATGTAACATTCCACCACTTGTCATGCAAGGGTGAAACTAACATAAAATTGAAGTGTCTTGTCTCCGTTCACCAGCAAATATCTCTTTCTAATCGCTTATCATTAACCATCACATAAGAATAATTTTCCTTATTAGGAGATTGCATGTCGCCAACCTATAATCTTAAATATTGACAAAGATTTTTAAATTTACTTTTAGAGTGACTGATATTTGTTGCATGGCTCCCTGCAATAGAGAAATGTAAAAAAAAAGTTTTCCCAAAGTCCTGCTTAAGATTGCATCCACTACTCATAAGGGGAAATTTTTCAAAACTAAGACAATGTATGCGTGTATCCAATCTGCTGGTAGTCAACCTGAATTCTTTGTAATAATTTTTAATTTTTTTTTTTTATTAATGCTGGTTATACAATAATGGTAATAATCTAAATTTCATTCTAAGCACAAGTAGAACGAATTGCTGATCGCGGTATCGTCTGCTTTCATAACTTTAACAGGTTTTCTAAGCAAGCTCAACCGTGCCAGCACCACTAGGTTTGCCGCTACCAGCTCATGATTTAAAAGAAAGAAAAGTGTTATCGCTATATCTCCGCCATCACCATTAGAGTTACATTTGTACGATATCAACGTGCGTTTGTAAGCAATTAATATTAGCGACCAAAAAGCCAATGAAAGATAAACTCGTTGAAAACTAAAACGTCATTTATAGGTTTCATAGCAAAGAAAGTGGAAAGTTGCCCAATAAAGCAGATGCTCATGCCGATGACAATGACGATGACGATGACGACGGCGATGACAGAGCCGATGGTTGCGCACCATGTAATCTCACTTTAAAGCATTGACTAGTATTTGAAAAAGAAAATGAAAACTTACCGAGAGAGGTAAAAAGAAATAAACGAAAAAAAAAAAAAAAAACAAAAACAAAAAAAAATAAAAGGAAAGAAAAATGTTGAAAAACCGCTTTTCAGGTTACAACGGAGATAATAGCCGAAGAGGTGTTTAATTAAAATCACTTTTTTAATCTAAGTGCTAAGGACATACGAGTAAAAGATTTTACTATAAAGATAAGAACATAGCATAAATGTGCTTTTAATACATATTAATAATTTTATTATGAAGCTAAGGCGAAATAGTAACAACAACAACAGTAGCAGCAGCAGCAGCAACAAGAACAACAACGCCTATACATATAAATAAATAAATTAGCATTTCTTGTGTTATTTAAAATATGTCAGATTTTGTTATTTAAAGAAATTAAAGATAAAAATACAAATAAAAATAAAAAAAAAGACTGAACCAACTTGACAACTATTGAAAGTAAAGGCTGCCTTATCCATAGGAGTAATCATCATATCTGGTATCTCTGGCCTATTCAGTTGGTGGTCTTTTCGCAAGCTAAGGACACGTGTTTTCTTTTCTTTTCTTTTGTTTTTTTTTTCTTCTTCTTCTTCTGGTTCTTCTTCTTCTCTTCGTCTTCTTCGTTTTCGTCTTCTCTTTTTTTTTTTTTTTTTTTTTTTAATTTAAATGCTTTAGGTTATAAAATGTTATTCTAGTAACTATTTATGGGTGATTTGGCTTTCCTTCGTTCGCTGGTCGGCTGGTTGGTTAGTCTATCGCTTGTTCGTTTACTTGTTTGCTTGTTTGTTCGTTGGTGCGTATTGTTTTAGTACCCATAAACTGTTGTGTTTACATGCTAAAATGACACAAGTTAACTACGTTTGGTCTGCTTAATGTTGTTGGTGCTTTTGCTTTGGTTATTGTTATTGTCGTACGCACTTCACAGTCTAGCCTCAAACCATATTTGCTTGATTAAGCATAAAAACTGGTCTTTATTCTTTAATAGAATTTCTTTACTTTACATTCATCGTCGCTATCGTCAGAGATAGTGTGTCATGTCAACGCAACTTGGACTGTATAGCCAGCCATAGTACACAATAAGCAAGCAGCACGGATCCTATATAGGATGCCTTCATAGCCACATACGGTGGATCCATCTACATTCGCTACTTTTCTAATTCCCTTTAAAATAACATCCCACGTGTTCTACGTAGTACACATTGTTAAAATGGCTAGAAATTAGTGCGAAAGGAATATTCATCATTAATTTTTAATTGCGTTTTTTTTTTTTTTTTTTAAGACTGGAGGGAGATCTTCCATTTTAAATAACTTATTTTTTTTCTTTTTTTTCCCCTTTTTTTTTCATAACATTCTTTCTTACTTCTTCTACTTTATATATGTATTATATGTAAGCAAAAAATATGAAAGCAAGAAAAATAATAAACAGTTAAAAATTAGTACAATGATTAACGGAATGCATTTGATTATTCGACGGGTGATTTACTTCACGCCTAAGATATAATTTCAGCAAATTATTACATGACCTGGGTTTCACAGTCTCATCGACACTTGACTGCGATTCCCGTAAAAGTGCAACAAGAGATCATATTAAGGCGTTCGCGTACTTCGCCGCGCATAAGCATTTATTTCGATCATTAGTGAGATTAACTTGACTTTGAAATTGCAAATCTCCGAATCAAACACTTGTGTGTGTACATTTCAGCTTACCATTTCATTGTCGCAATAGCGACAAAAGCGTCGATGATTGAATAAAGATAGCACGCACTGTATGCAGTATTCATCTTTTAAGAGCTCTTTTCATTTCCACATATCTCATATGACTCACATCTCTTAGGCGCTTGCTTTCTTATCGTGTCTTAACCATTATTCATTCATTATATCAGACTATGACGTGAATAATATTTTTTTCTTCTCTGTTGTTTCTATTTTTCAGGGCTCAGATCCCCGTGCGGCCACATGCAGAGGTAAACTGCAAACTCGACGCTGTAAATTAAATCAAGAAATAAATAAAGAATTACGATTACGAGCAGGTGCCGAAAACTTATATAAGGTAAGTCTCCAAAGGTGACTTTTAATTTTATTCAGACTATATGATATGTTCATTTTTATTTTTCATATTCGATACAATTCGCAGGCAACCACCAATCGTAAATTACGTGATACGGTAGCGTTGGAGTTAAGTTTTGTCAATTCAAATTTGCAATTACTCAAAGAACAATTGGCTGAATTAAATTCATCGGTAGAAATTTATCAAAACAACAGGTAAGTTATTATCTATACCTGCCTTTCTCACTCTGCAAAAAAGTAAGAAAAAAAAAAAAAAATAAAGAAAACTCTTTAGATTGCAAAAATCGTAGAAACGATTCAAAGTTTAAATTTATGCCCCCCAAGTTCGAAAATTGCCAGTCGCCAGTCGCCAGTCACCAGTCACCAGTTGCATAATCCAGATAAGGCGCCATGAATGTGTACCTGGTTTTCCCCCTTTCTTTAGAATGGGTTTTCTTTGAAAATCGACTAAATCCCACAAAAACTCAAATCATCATATATATGGTCATACAACACCCTTGTACCACGAGTGATGTGGTGTATAACTGTTAAAAACATTGTTTTCTTATATCCGTTCAAAGTAAATATAAATTTTTTGCTTTCAAGCATCCAATGAGCTAAGAATACTGAACCGGCATCGTATACTGGATATTTCACTTAGAAATTAATTCATTGTTCCTTAAATTATTTTAATGAATTTTTAGTTTATACCGGTTCTTTTTATTTATTTGACCATCATATCTGTATCACGATGCTGTTATGCTGGCTCCATTGCAAGATAATAGACAATCTTTAGTATTTGTCTTGAACACTAAAGATTGTCACTTTGCTTGAACATTTACTCAATAGGTTAAATATGCACCATAATGAAAACGGGAAACTATCTCTGGAACAGAACGCAAAAATCTCTCGTGTAAAAAAAAATACTTGTGTTTTGGTTGACCTCTTTCAGCCCTACAAGTTATAATTTTGCACCTAAAACGAAAAGTTGGAAGAGTTCTAAACACATCTGATCCAAATCGAGTAAATATCGGACCATTTTTTTCGAAAATTATATTAAACAAAAAATATAAAAAAGATATTTACTTACCAAGTTTGCTAGTATTTTGTTAGCATAGCAACTATTTGAGAAGTCGATCAGTTCAGCACCTGAAAACAATTTCCTTTTTAGATTCAATTTTGTGAAAATCACAAGCAAGACTTTAATCACATTATATATATGAAAAGTTTTGCAAGTCCTGCTTGAGTCTTCGCAAAACTCTTCCTTTTTTAATAAATTTTTTTTTATTTTTTGTTTCATTTAAAGAAAATCAAATAAAAATCTTTGCCATACAACTGCACACTTTTGCTGTATGCTATGCATATGTGTTAAAGAAATATGTAATGCTTTTACCACCACTTCTTAAGCACGAACTCACACGCAGTCATTATTTATTTGCCTCACGAAGTGTTTGTATTCTTATAAGCACGTTTGCATTCATCCATCCATTCGTCCAATTACTTTTTGTTGCTTCCTGTAAACCATTAAGCTTTTTTCTTCTTCTTCTTCTTTTTTTTCTTATTATTATTATTATTTTTTCACTCTCCTCAGTTTATTTATACCAAATTAGTCACATCGATTCTTTTCTTTTCTTATCCTAAAGCAAATAAAAAGAAGAAAAAAAAAAAATGCAACCACAAAAGACTTCTCTTTCGAGATGATTTTAGGAATCTTTTAATGTCATGCAATATTGCTACAAAAAGAAACTTAAATCTCTTTGTTGCAAGTTTATGTTTAAGCCGATTTAAAGAAAAGAAAGGAGAAAAAAAATTAAATTAATCGAAAACACGACATATATAGATATATAGAGTATTGTGTTGCACTTACGTAATTTAAACTATTTTTCAGATTTAATCACACTTTAGTCAGTAAACTTGTATTATATTTAAAAAAGGAAAACATACCCAAACGCTACCATCATCAATGATATCATATTTAAAGCGTGCAGAACAACATCGGTTTCACTTTGTTATACAAACGCTAATATATAATTCTATTAAAATTAATTTAAGGTTCCGCCTTAAGTATAAGGATTTAAAGTTTTTTTCATATTTATATTAAAAAAAGAAAAGGAAAAAAATCCTTGCACGCTACGACAGAAACTAAAAGGCAATCGATAGCTTGCGATATACGTTACTGAGTAACAAAATATAGGTTCAAAGCATTTCCCGAAAACGATTCGCTTGGTTCGCTTATATATTGATATTTAAGATTTTTTTCAAGACATTTGCGCTACCGCTCAACCGAATATATAAAGATTCGGGACTATCAAATCGATACTCGCGGGTTCAAATCTCAGTGCGGTTTTGATCGATCGTACTGGGAAGTCGTAGCTATATACGGTGAGTGGCCAATCAGTAAAGGCATAACATTTCTGCATTAGGGTACGGCGACCCCTTATCTCTTTCTCACTTTGCCCTATTCTTTTTGACCATCACTGTGTTACCCGTATAGGACGCATCTTTTGAAAGACATGTAATAATAAAAGAAAAAAAAAATGTAAAAGCCTCCTGGATGATGTATAATAGAGAAATTGCATTAGCCATCGGATTAAGCGAAATTTTCTACAACGTTACTTATGCTTATATGTTTTAACAATATTTGCACACTCGTCAAGAAGGGTGCGATTGAGGCAAAGGGCAGAGTTATCCATTGTGCCGAGGTGGGCCACACTTCAACACTCTCTACAGGCTTGAACATGCGTGGCGTTCTAAGTCTACATAGATCAACACGATGAGATCACTAGTCAAGCAATACCCCGACTAGCCGATTCTTTAACGACACTGCTCGTCTTTAGAAAAATTTAGTTGCAGGGACCTTTCCCATCGTTTCTGATATTGTCACTTTTAGAAAGAATGCGCACAAGCACTGCTTCCTTCTGACAACGATAAAAGGACATTATTGAACGTCTCAAGCAGCCCATACTATTGGCAATTATTACATGCATGACGATACTCAAGGCACTTTAATATCTGAAATGGATAGTACGTAGAAGATCGCGCCAATTGCATTCATGTTAATTAATTGCAATTAAACCAATGGGATGCCGAGGCGTTGCTTACTTTGTGACGATACAATACTTTATCACTTAGGGGGAAATTTTTTTTTATTATTTTTTTTTTAAATCTCATTAAGCACTTAGCGTATGCTCTACCACCGTTGAGATTTGAACCCGCGAACATTGACCCAATAGTCGTGATTTTTATCTACTCGGCTACTCATGCAAACTCTCGGCCGATTATGAAAGACAAGGTACAATTTCGCAAACGATAGTAATTTAAAATTAAATCAGCCGATTGCCCTCGGCTTTGTTCTTTGTTCTTCTTTTTATACGCTACAACACTGCTGGTATATTAGATTTGTCCAAATGTATGCAACGCACAAAAAGGCTTAAGAGAGGCCCACCTTTTACTATACTGATCGTTTTAGAATCGCTTTCTGAATGACTTTACTTTAGAAAACCTTTCCGAATCGATCTAAGCTTGTCTGTCCACTTACCTGTCTTGTTTTCTTTTGTTCAACCTACAGCCCGCCCTTTTTGATATACTTTGATATGTCGGTATGCGTTGGTCCAAGGACGACCGCTATTGAAAATGATGCAGATCACACCACTTTTTCAACCAGTTCCCATATAAAACTTTATTTTAAAAAGTCATTAAATTAATAACTTTAGTGTGGTGGACCATGGGTCATTATAGTGTTTTTACCTGTTTTCATATTCTAAGTCTAGAGAAACTAATATCTAATAAAGACAAAGAAAGGCTTGATTTTCAAGTTCTACAGCAAATTAGTGTAAAAAATGCATTACTTACTCCCTCCGCTTATACCAGTTTATATGCTTTCGAATTTTTCTCTTTACCATATTTTCTTTTGCAACCTTATCAACGCAATTCTAATGAATGAAATGAGATTCGGTTATGTATAGAAATGAAGCTTGGCGTAGCCTTAGCGCATTGTAAAGACAGCGTTTTCTAAATCTGCAAACATTTTAATGTCGGCCACGTTCTCAATTGCGTTTTAAGCGGAGATAAATTTCGTATGATCGTAACAAATAATGAGACCGAACCTTTTCCGCATTTAAAATAATTTCTATTTGTAATTTCTATTTTTTTTTTTTTTTTTTTGTATAGTATTATTGTTATTGTTGTTTAAAAACAAATCATTGTGTTTTTAGTATTATTTTTCAATCGGTGCGTTCGTTTATGGTCAAGTGATTTTTGCAATCAACCAAGCGGAACATGACTCTATATGCTATGTGTGCATGGATGCTTGTATAAATGTTTTCAAATGTAATTTGAAAAACAAAACTCATAAGCAGTACATTTTATGTTAATTTTCTATTACAATAAATTTTTTTCCACAATTTTGTTTTTTGCGAATTTTATAAAAAAATTTTACAAGATTTAAAATGAAAAAAAAGAATTCAATCTCTCGTCGTTGCTTAATAGCCGTATATCGTGTATATAGTAGTGTAAAGCATTAGTTATATACCGTCAGAATAAATTTCTATCCCTTACGTTCCTTACGTTGACGCATTATTGCTGTTCTTTCAAATAAAATTATTAATGGTTCGCTCTCTTCTTCAAGTTTGTTACTTAAGTCTTTCGTTCGTTATGTTGTAAAAGAACGACTTTAAGCACCCCAGCGTCGCTTTTTTTTTTTTTAAAGCAGCTTGTCTTTTTTGTTTTTTTCTCTTTTTTTTTGTTTATACGTGGTTTTTGTGGTTTAGGTGGTTGTTGGGGATTGTGGTTTTTATGTTTATGGACTTTGTCCGGCAAAGAAAAAAAAAAAACAAAATTGTACCTGAAAAGCATAATATACTAAGAAGAAAACATAAACAATTTTCATTCTCTTTGAGTTTCCTCTCTTCCTTAAGTCTTTCACCGTTCTTTAGACAGAAAGGAAATCAAGATAAAAGAATACTTTATACATTAGTTTCCTTCACGACCTTTTTTATGCGACTTTTTTTTTCTTTTTTATATACAAATTGTTATTGTCAGTAAATGAGCACATTTTCGTAGAGCATTGAAGTATCGTATACTTAAATAGGTCTCTCTACAAGAACATTGCCCAACGCAGAAATGTATCGCTATTCCATGTCCCACGCCCATTCATATTACCGGAGATATGATTCCTCCTTGAAATAAATTCACATAATAAAATGAGAATTATCAAT